AAAACCAATTCCTCGGGGTAAAAAAATTTGGATTTGACTTCAATACACCGCCAACTAGTGGTGGCATATCTGAAGCTCGCTCATAACTCGGACTTTGGCTCGCACTCAAAGCAAAAAAAATAGGCTGAGTGACAGCTCGTAAGTCAAGGTACCACTGTACGATGGATTATCAGGGACGATAGAACATCTAGTGAAAGTAATTTGGTGCGTTTTAGTACGTACTAGGAAATTTAAACCCATGAGCAGTGGCCCAGTTAAAAACACAGTTGACCATATGCTGTGGAGGAAACTGCAAGAAGCGACAGTCAGTGCCTGCACAAGCTATAACAAAATCAACATAGTGATGACCAAATATTAAATGGAAGAATAAATGCTGGACCATTTATAGCAAGGAGAAAGTGTGGTGCTCAGGACACATCCCTGGGGGATACCTTCAGCTTGGACTAAGTCTGGGGAAAGCATATTATTAACCCAAACACAGAAATGCTCTCAGATAAGGTGTTCTTAAGAAAATGGTAGACTGCCTTGGAGGCCTAAGGAGTGAGCTTGGGTCAAGATGTTAATCTCCATGTTGTCATATGCCTTCCAATATCAAACAAAAATGGCAATTACAGAGTGGTTATTGGCAAAGGCATTATGTACATGTGTACCCAAAACGGAGAAAAAGGGAGTCAATGTAGAATGGCCCCTAGGAAACCCATACTGATTTGTGGAGAGACTATTGTGCGTCTCTAAATACCGCATCAAACGTCTGTTTACCAGACACTCCAACACCTTGTAAACCACACTGGTAAGAGCAATGGGACGATAGTGGGAGGCATCAAGTCCCAAAGTGCTTATGTCCTCCCTGCCACAGGTGGAGATGATACCCTTGCAGTGTAGCTCGCTTAACTTTTGACTACCGTGAACTTCTATCCTCGGTTTGTAAGCAGGCCACCATTTACCCAAATTTGAAAAGGGGACCCCCACACTGCAGCAGTTGGTATATATAAATTAGATTTAATTTATAAATAATAGAGCTACATACTGTACAAAATATGATAAATTTCTTTAATGTTAAGTACGTAGTCAGTAAGGCATTAAATTAAGTTGGCCCATAAGCCTAAGCATAATAGAGGCTCTTGCACTGCAACCCATTATTGTAAATACATAACTGCAATGAAATTTACTTGCAAATAAATAAATAAATTTGAATTTGAATACAATGTCCTTGTCCTCTGAACCCCTCAAGGAAGGTTTCCCTTTGATGTTGGTGAGGTCTTGATTTAGGGAATTGGATCTGTGCTCCATTTTCCCCGAATTAAGCCTGAATGCCTTCCACATCCCCCCCCAGGCACTGTATAATCCTCCGGGTTTAGCGCTTCCCCCTTGATTATAATAATAATTGTCCTCTGAAACACCTGAAGCTATCTCCAAATATTTGAGACTAGACCATTGATGGACACCGACCCATCTCCTGTTCCTCCTCTTCACTCTCCTCTATCTGCACAACTCCTTTCTTTGCAGCGTCCCAATCCTTCACTCTTGTGCATTTTCTGCTCCCCTCCATGTTGTGGACTTTTCTAACCCTTCTAGTCCATAAAATACCTCAAACCCATCAGATTTCTTTATCTTTCTCTTCGGAAATCAGGGCTTATTTGCAGTGGAAATATTGGCGGCCTCAGAGGTAACCAGGGTGAGCTTCGGGTGTTGCTCTCCCAGTTTTTCCTGTTTTTGTTTACAAGAACCCAAATTACGCTCCGCTGTTATCCATCCCATCTTGGGTTGTTTTATTTTTACATTCATCAGATCCTTTTCCCGATGAAATTTTGCATGACAGCAATCGTTTTCCAATCACCCATTCTCCTTCGTATTCACCACCACCTCGAGCCCACGCTGGCAATTTTGACCGAGCGAATTGGGGCCTTTACTCACATCAAACTGCTTTTAGTGAGGACCCTCCTTTGTCCTCCATTGATGAGTTTTTAAACACCTCTCCTCGACCTCAGTTTTAACTGCAGCTTCACTTCTATACCCCAAACCTCAGGAAGGCATTCTCAGAGGTGTGTCCTTGGGTCTCCTGCTTGTGCTTGGGCATACTTTTTGAAAAGTGTTGCATGGGGAAGATACCGGTACAATAGAACCTTGATTTTAAGCAGAGAGAGTGGTTGCCTGCAGTGTCATCCGTTACACTAAACGCACTTGCTGGGGATTGTTTCTCCCCCTCACTTCAGCTTCCCCTAGAGTGCAGTTTAGAATAAAGCACGGAATCTGGGTGGTAAATATTCTCCTGACTGGCTCCCGTTCTTCGGGTTGCCGGTGTCACTATAGCAAACCCTCTTGATGTTGCCACTGAAATTGGTAATCATCTTGTCCGTATCTCTCAGGCTTCATCTATGCCCCCACTTTTTTCCTCCAAGTTTGCCAGAGAGTTAGAGCCCTTAAGCCTTTCTATCAGAGAGAAACTTATAATGTGCCTTTTACACTTCTGGAACTGAGGCAACAATCTCCAGTTGCCAATCATTGGCAGCTGGGCCTGACAGCATTCATATTCATATGCTACAGCTTTACAAAGTCAGCCCTTGCTGTCCTTTTTGACTTTAATCTTATTTGGTCACAAGGATTCTTCCCCAGCTGTGGAAATCTGCCATTGTTCTCCTTTTCTGCAGACCGGTTTTCTATGGGGCATGACGCCTCCCCCCTATCGTCCCATTGCTCTTCCAGTGCAGTTTTGCAAGGTGATGGGAAATTGGGGAAATAGATGTTTGATGTATTTAGAGACGATAGTCTCTTCACTAGTCGATATGGCTTTCGTAAGGGGGCCCCTTACTACGCTTGGATACGTAGGTTCGTAATGCCTTTGCCAATAACCACTCAGTTATCGCCATCTTTTTTGACCTTGATAGGGCATATGACAAAACTTGAAGGTATAACATCCTGGCCAAGACCCACTCCTATGCCTCTGAGGCAATCTACCATTTTTCCTTAAGAACTTCTTAACTGAGAGACATTTCCATGTTCAGGTTAATAATATGCTTTCCCTGGACTTTGTCCAAGTGAAAGTGTTTCCCAGGGATGTGTTCTGAGCACAAGACTTTTTCTCCTTGCTATAAATGATCTGGCATCTAATTCTTCCATCTAATATTTGGTCATCACTATGTTGATGACTTTGCTGTAGCTTGTGCCTGCGCTGATTGTCACCTCATTGCAGTTTCTCTCCTAGCGGTCACCTCTGTTTCCAATTGGGCCAATACTCATGGGCTCAAATTTTCTAGTACTAAAACTCACCAAATTACTTTTACTAGACATTCTGTCGTCTCCGATCATCCATTGTACCTATAAGCTCCTTGTATCTCAGGACGTGACATGGTCAGGTTTCTTGGCCTTCTGTTTGATCGTCGGTTATCCTGGAAGCCTCGCAACTTGTCATAGCCGGTTGAACCTCCTTAAAACCCTCACTCATCTTTCGTGGGGGGCAGATCATAGCACTCTCCTTCGACTACATTCAGCCCTAATTTTACCAAAATTCAGTTACAGCTACCAGATGTATTCAGTGGCCTCTCCTGTAACTTTCTAGTCTTAATCCCCATCTGTTAACAAGATTACGTTTTGCCTTGGTGCTTTTCGCTCTTCACCGGTTGAGAGCCTCTATGTAGAGGCAAATACAGTGGACCTCCGACATTCGACATTAATCCGTTCCTGAGAGCCATCGAATGTCGAAAATATCTAAAGTCGAATTAATTTTCCCCATAAGAAATAACGGAAATCAAATAAATCTGTGCAAGACACCAAAAAGTATGAAAAAAAAATTTTACCACATGAAATAATTAAGTTTAATGCAATAGAATAATTACAGTAGCAATAGATTAATAACAATAGAATAACTGACACTTACCTTCAATGAAGATCTGGTGATGATTGATGGGATGGGAGGGGGAGAGTGTTTAGAAGGGGAATCCCCTTCCATTAGGACTTGAACTGGCAGCCTCGCCATGCCTTACCACACTGTGTATGCCACTACGATTCTTAAATCTTTCAAACCAACCTTTGCCAGCTTTAAATTCACTCGCATCACCACTAGTTGCAGGCAATTTCTTTACCAAATCATCATCGCACTCCGACACACGCACTCCACTTTCGTACTTTGCAATTATCTCTCTTCATTTCAATAGTCATTAGCACCTTTTTTCTCAAAGGGTTGGCACTAGAAGCTTTCTTGGGGCCCATGGTTACTTATTTTGCAGAAAACAAGCACCAAAAACAGTGATAATATGGATAATATGGAATGTACCGAATGTATCCTTAGATGTCAGCACACGGCTGGCTTGTAAACACAGACACACACGGGGCATGTTCAGGCCACATGTGGACATGTCTCGTACAAATCGTATCGAATGTCGAGGCGAAATTTTTTGCGTTAAAATGCATCGAATGTCGGATTTATCAAATGTCGATGCCATCAAATGTCGGGGGTCCACTGTATTCCATCCTTGACAAATTGCCATGATGCTCATT